AAAACAGACGTTTTTTTGTATTATATCTCAGTCGTAAATTAATATTTTTTAACTTATTTTTTAATATATTCTATAAAATTCTATAAACTTTTAGTTCTTACCAAATTGATTAAAAAAATGATAAATAATGCAATTGCACGCTAAAAATAACTATATTTTTTGACTCATTTTACTCTGGGCCTCCTAAAATTAAAATGTAATTTTATTATAGTACGAAATGTATTCGTTTCTTTTCTTTAATAAAAATATACTGAACTTGCTTTCAGAAAATCTGATCAATTTATGTTTATATTCGTATATACAATTGTACACATATATATATATACCAATTTTTGTATTTATATTTTCGTATCATATCAAGTATCTAAGTTTAATTCTAAGAACTCAGCACTGTTTCTTCACATAATTTATTAATTTAATGATATCAATTTTATAGATACAAATTGCAAAATGTTTAGATAAAGCAGATATCCATGCAAACATTGACAGCTCTAGACACTATCAAAGTAGCATAATAAAAAAAATTTTAATTAAGAAAAATTTTCTCATTGTTGATATGAAGCTCATCTAGTACATGCATTAATGCATAAACTTTAATATAGAAAAGGATTTCCAGAATGTTATCGGTTTGATATTGGATAACTGTTTACAGGTCACATAAAAGTAATTTTTCAAAATGAAATTATATGATTTTTATTATATTATACGATTTCTGTTATTAATCTATATAAAAGACTTAAGAAAAATTATAAAAAAAAAACAATGAAATATACTTATGAAATATTTTATACTTTATTGTGACATACTTTGATACGAAATATAAAACATCTTATAAATTATTTCTTCTTTTAATACATTAATATTTTTATGCATATAATGAAATAAATCGATATAAAGGATTGGTATAAAGAAAATACGTAGCTGCTTTTCAAAAAAATATGTAAAAATTGCATATTGCAAATTGAAGATAGATTAAAATAGGGCAACCTACATGCATATGTGTACATTTTGTCCGTAATGAATTTATTGATTCTTAAATAATTAATGGTATAATATATACATTGGCTTTCTTAAATAAGGTACCGACGGCTTTAGGCCTATTGTTTGTTCACTTCATTAGGCTAGTGTCATGTCACTTCATTTAGTTATTTCTTTTCATACAAGTGCTCTTTCTTTTACTACAAGTTATATAAATTAAAGCTATTGTTTCATTCTTTCTAATCTATCGAAAATTTGCATCTCTCTTTCTACGTTCAGTCATACAAACATTTAAAATCTAATTATTGTATACGCAAACAAATACATATATATATATATATTTGTTGAGATCATATATATACATATACACACGTGCACGCGCACGTACACTACAAAATTCTACTGCATTCCAAAATAAATCGTATATAACGCAAAGTATGCGTGTAACACAATCGTATAGATATTTCCAATAAATTGTTTCCTGTTACTGATATAAGAATCGATCACAGTTAGATAAGCGCCTTTAATTATGATATGAAAATGATAGCTATAAAAACAAAAATTTTAAAGTACTGCTAGCGCTTATCATTGATATTATAATGAGCTTTTTATCTAATGATAATTATAAAAAGTTTTTTACAATTTTTTTGTTTGTATTGCAAGCTATCTCAATATTTGCTGAAACATATTAAATCTTTGGTTCTTAATACTAGTTTTAAACAATTATCAATATCGATGTCACGCATTTAATATTATGCATTTATTCTATATAAATAGGTCATTCGATTGAAATATAATTTTAAATTATCTTATATTATTTGCCATAATAAAGTTTCCATTATATATTGTATATAATATAATCGGTTTTTTAGCAATTAATCTCTTTTTCAAATGATTTTTATGGCACTGTTCCCTCCTTATACAACTTATTTTGTGTGTGTGTGTGTGTGTGTGTGTGTGTGTGTGTGTGTGTGTGTGTGTGTGTGTGTATGTTCATTCCATCGTATCATTTTATTTTCAAGAGAGCTTTATAATTTATTATAATTATTGACTATATAACTCTCTTCTTCTCTAGTAGCTATATATATATATATTTATTTTATGACTGATATGAGAGATATTTAAAATGGTAACCCATTGCAGTCGCCTTATTGCACTTTCAGAGTGTCGAGTATAATATTAATCATATTAGAGTATGGTGATAAATTAATATACAAACAATGATAACCATTCAATGCATTATACTGTCATTTAATAAAACTATGTAGGCCTGTAGAAAAAATAATTTCAATTAATTTAATGAAATATCCGTAAGAATTCGAGAATATGTGATTTAATTATATGAATACTGAATATTTCTTAATGAAATTT